CTCCTGCTGCATTCTGTGACACTCTTTCGCTTGCCAAGGGTGCTGGTGCCATCTGGAGTTTTTCTTTCCTTTCCCCCTTCTGGGAGTGTAGGCTGGGGCAAGCGAGCTCGTGTCTGGAGCAGTTAGCTGCTTCCCTGGGATATTCCCAAGACATAGTCAGGCGAGTAAGTCCCCGGTGGAAGCAAGGTGGGAACCCAGCTCACTCACCGAGGTGACAGTGCCTGGCGAGACAGCATCTTGGGACACATCGGCCCTTCCTTCCATCAGCAGCCCCACTCTACAGCTGGAGGACTTCTCTGCCCCCAACTCTCTGCACATTTTTCCCACTAGTGATAGTCCTCATGGCAAATATCTGTCTCCATTTCACTTTCCTGGTGTTGTGGGTAGCTAGTCTCCGTGCTGCTGCACTGTAATTCATTTCGGTGTGGAGCAGAGTCAGTTTTGGTAGGCTTTGTGAGAGTGGCGTGACAGCACTTAGGGCTGCCTCTGCCCCAAATGGCTCCCTATAGGAATGATTTCCTGAGGAGCATCTTTACCCAGGATGGTTTTGATTAAATGACCCCCGTACCTATCTCTGTATATATAGATGCACACATATATAAAAAGCAGCGATGAAATAATTTTTTATACTAGACATCTCTGGTGCAAGAAATACATTTTTTTTTAATTATTATTATTATTATTTGGTAGTACTGTTAGCTTCCCAGGATTAAATTCCAGCAGTAGTGCACAGTGCTTCCCTTGCCCCTCAGTGCAGGAGAGGTGCAGTACTGAGCAAAACTAGCAGAAATTCAGAATCCAAAAGCTTCTGTCTGTTTTAAGAGCTACTTCATCCTAAAGGTAGAAACTGTGCAAAAGGATAAATCCTCTGGAAAAAAAATGCAGGTGTTTCATTCATGCTCTGTTTATCCTTCTTTGTTTGCTATATAGTCTTCCTTCTTTCACCTTAATAAATAGAAGAATTAATGAAAGCTTTTTTTGGCACCTTGACAATTACTTTCATGTAGCCGTCAAAACGAAATGTGAACAGGATTGACAATTTCATTTATCTCTGTGATAGAAATGCAAAGTAAAGAATTTGTAACAAGTTGTATGTGCATCACAAAAAGGGCAGCAAGGCCTTTCCCAGCCAGTGCAATTTATTTACCTCCTTTCAAAATCAGCTTCTCATTGTGTGCCCACAAATCTGCCTACTCTGAATATGCATTCAGAGAGAAGGAAAACAAGACAACTTTGAAAGGGTATTGCATAGGAAATTGCAAAAAGTGCTTTCTAATTACTTACTTAGAAGTTTTCTCAAATTGGACAGTGTATTTTTATGCATTTCAATAGAGTATAAAAATGTGCTTTGCTGATGGCTATGGAAAGGAAGAGCTAGGCTGAGATTCCAGCATGGTACAGAGGTCCACTCTCCACCTGCAGCAGTGTTGCTGCACATGGCTCTGTGTGACCAGGCTCAGAGAAGGGTCTCATCTACAGAGATGTTCGAAGAACAGAGGAAATTATGACCCTGGTCACAAAATTAGTGACAGGCTAGAGTGTGCTGATTCATACATGCTGTGATTGCACGTCACTATATGGAAAGGAGCATGAGATGAAGGGGCTGAAAGTAGGTCTCCTTCTCAGGAGCTGGTGCTTCTTCTCCATCCCAGATGCTTCTCCATCACATGTGCAGGATGGGGGTTATTGGCTTTTGAATGTAGGTTGCTCCATGGATTCTAAATCCCTGTTGAAAAATCCCCACATTTTGCATAGCATGTTAGAAGGGGTGACCCAAAGGGGCCAGCTGCAACCTGTTGTCACCGCCACTAGATGCAAGCAGGGGCTCCGGGTCACTGCGCTGCACCTGCCGAGTGCTTCTGAGTGGCCTTGGGAGTCAGGAAGAGATCCCCATGGAGCCCAGCAGTGTCACAGGCCCCACGGGCCTTCTCCTGCTGAGAGGTCTGGGTGGAAATCACTGGCACTGCTTTAAATTTGGGTGTCGCCGTGGCCTGCCAGAACCTGCCAGAAAATGTGAGCTGCTCGGGTGTGAGGTGAGCCCTGGCCATGGACAGCTGAAGGGACAGCCGTGAGCTTCGTGCCTCCCAAGCTGCTATTTTCTTTGCTTTTAATAACATCATAGCGAGGGGGTTTAACTAACACTGGTTCCGCTTCACCTCCATTACTGTTCACAGTTTCCCTGGAACAAAGGTTTTCCTCGTCCTCTGCCCTGCAGGTTCTAAGATACAGCCTCTCCCAGAAGACTGTAAAGCCAAAGACTCACAAAACCTCTGGTTCAAAGGCAGGTACAAAGCCCAAATCATTGCTGAGTCCGACATGAAAAGGACTTTTGGCAGCGCTACTGTGCAGTATCAGGAAAACCTTCCTCCCTCCCCTCTCTCTCTCTCTCTCTCAGCACCCGCACAAGTCAAGTGTTGAAATAACAATAATTCTTTACTGGAAGCAATGTTGCATTTCATGTGCGTTCTCTGTCTGGCATTTCATTGAATTTGCAAAAATCTGACAAATGTAACCAACCATTAAAATGTGTAATAACAATGACAACGAAGAAAGCATGCTTTGGAGGAGCATACACGTGTAAATGCAGATGATGAAGAAACCTAAGTAGAATTTCTGACTCATGATGAAGAGACTGAATAATCTGGTCCGACAGTTTTAGTAATTTGTCATTTATTCATAAACTTGTACTGTAGCATCCTTTCTATTTATTTTGAGTGCAATGGCAAAGTACAGATGCACAGAATGCAGACAGAAAGCTAGCTAAGAGATAGCTGTAGGACAGATGGTATCCTAGATTTGTAAGAAGGTCTTTCTATAATTAACAGTGGATTCAGTGGATTCATTCCATCCAAAACATTTGCTCATGTAATGTGCTTTTGTGTATTAACAATGTGATGCTAAAACCTAACAATTACTTTGCAGAATTCATAAAAATATGGACATCTAATGTGTTTGAAGAGTAAAAGAGGAATGACTAGCTATGTTTTTAATTTAGCAAGATTCATTTTGTAAATAAGACTTTTTTTTTCCCCAGGCTATAATTTCTAATTATATACCTGAATAAATCCAGGCTGTGGTATTAACATTGCATAAACTACAAAGGCAGTTTCCTGTCTGTTTGGAATAGTGTGAAAATTTTCCATGCAGTACAATCTAATACCATACAAAGATATAGCCCAGCCAGTTGCTCAATGGTTTTAGAAGCAGCTCTGTGTCAAAAGTGCAGCTATTTTTCTACCTGGATAAGCTACAAGTTCAAGTGCAACCGAGTGAACATTTTAGTCATAACCTCTACCATTAGACAAAAAGTCTGAAAAGGTATCAGCTATTGCTCAAGAAAAGGTCAAAAAGAACTGGCAAAAAGCCCGAGTTCTTCGTTGCTGGATACAGAGGTTAATTCAAGTACAGCAAAACAAAGCGAAGATCTTGCACGAAAAGATAAATAACGATAATTATTAAGAGCACAAATGATGAGTGCAGCTGCCTTGGAGGGGGATGTTTTGCAGGCTGCGTTGGGGCCCTGACCACAGGGTGCAGTTAGCCCACAGTTCTGCTTTCATTTGATGGTTTCACATTGGCAGAGAAACCATAGGCATGAGAAAAGCTTCCTTATGCAGAAAAATGTTGCTTGTTATTATCAGGACTTTCAGTAATCATTAGTTAATCCATGATTCACTGTGATGCACTTGACCAGAGTCTCATTAACTAGCCAAGCCTGCCTAATTGACTTGGCATTTTTCATCCATGCAACAAGGCCGTGAAGTTGGACTTGAAAAGACTCCTTCCCTGACAGCAGAAATTAGTTTACAAAGTTGCTACCAGCAGTATGAAATAAGGTAATTGATCAAGCAGATAGTAGATTATAATATTGATAGTCAATAAAAAGATGAAGCATGCAAAGTTTGAGGATTTTAGAGGCAGCAAGGATTAGAGATGTAGTTAGTTCTCACAGGTGGCTGTCACATCTCTGGTGCGATGTTAACGGCATAAGCCACACGTGTGATCCAGGGGCAAACGCAGAGGTGCTGTGGCACGGGGCAGGGTTTTGGGCCTGCCGGAGGTGCACAGAGCTACGCGCGGCGTCTCCCGTGGCTTAGAGCAGCCACTGGCCAGTGGGCCCGTGTGCAGATCCACAGCACAGCTGGGGAGGGGTGTTACTGAGGGGCAGTAAAAACAGACAAGCAGAAGCATCTTGCGTGGAGCGCGCATGCACAGAGTAATAATGCAGGCAGAAGAGCCTGCATTTCCACATGCAGCGGCAGGAGTGGAAAGCATTGGAAAGTGCAGTCACAGCTGCAGGAAAAAAATAATACTGCTTTTGCTAGAATACAACGTAATGTATATATATATATACAGTATATATACATATTTGGAGTTTTCCTTGCAGAGTCCAGTCACTAACAGTATTGTGGCTGAATTAATTCTGGTTATAGCTGCTCTCAACTTCGTCATAACTGCTTTTTAGTTTTTACATCAAAACCCAAATTCCACAATGGCAAGAACAACTGAGTGCTCATCTCCTAAAAAAAATGAAAGTAAAACTGAGCCTTTTTGCATACTGAAAATACCCATCTCTAACTACTAGTGTAAAGAATTTATTTAAACATGTATCTGTTTTACATGGTGGATTAATCTCAGATTAGTAAAGCCCTTAATACTGTATTTAAGTAGCTGTAAATATTTGAATTCTAATGTTGTTTTTATAGAGTCATTACTGCTTATTTCAAATACTTTTCTGCTTAGTGATATAATTTGTGCTGTGGTTAATCAAAAATATGCTTTTCTCCTCCGCCTGTTGGTTGCAGTAGGCTGAGCGTGGGTGTTGATGTGAGCAGCCTGGAGCTATATGGGTCAGGACAGACTGTGGGTTGGCAGCACGGGGCGAGAGCTGAGTCCTGCAGTGCCCCTGGCCCTCACAAATGTCACCCTTATGGCCTTATTCCTCACAACACAAACTTGGTCCTTTTATGCTTGAGGTCTGTCTGCTTCTGTTTCCCCAGGTCCGTCCTCTAGGTTTGAATGGCTGTCCCCTGTGAACTGGCCGTGAATAAACAGCTTGAGAATTAGTCATTCTGTATGAAATTCTTCTCCACACAAGAGGCTTAAATGGGAGCAAAGTGATGTCCTAGCGTCAGCACTCCTGCCCACAGAAGGGACAAGGTAGGAAGACACCTATTTATAGCTGCAAACACATTTAACTAACACAGTTGCCTGATTCAGCCTCCTCACAGTTGGGAGAGCTTTCAGAGGGCAGCATCTGGAGGCAGAGGCAGGCTGAGCCCTAATGGGTGCTGCTCTGAACAAATAACATGTTGCAATTTAAGAAAAAAAATGCATGTAGACCAAATTGTTCCTGAATCACTTTGAGAGAGCTATTTTCGCATCTCCACTGATTCTGTTCATGAAGATCTTTTGTCTTGGACTCTTTTCCAGGACGCTTTTGCAGATAAATTGCTGGAACTTACGTAGTTCTATGGAGGTCATTATCAGTATTTTAAACTCACAAAACCTAATTTAAAGTTTTGTCAAACTCTCCTGAGTGTTTCACTGAATCCATCTTCTCTTATGTTCAGTGCCTACTCTGTTGTGCTTTGTCTGTAGCCAGTATTTTCTGTTCTCCATTTTTCCACTTGACAAGCTTCTGCCTGCTAAAAATTGACTATTAGTTACCACTTTGGATTGCAGCATTCATAGTGTGTGCGTACTAAGTGCATTGCTAAGATTAGTTAGGTTTTAGCATTCTCTATTTTTATCTTTAAAAAAGGTTGAAGGAGAAAACACCATCAGAAGTTAACCAGTTAAGATCGGGGGAAGGGAACTGAAGAAGTGTTGTTTTTCAACTCACTTCCCTGTGAACAGTGAGGAAAATTCAGAAGGTGAACTTCAGAGAACGTGCACTCCAAAGCCACCAGTCTTTCAGTTCTGATCTTTTTTTCCCTTCATTTGTGGCAGCATCTCCCCAGGTCTCCTCAAGCCTCACTCTCATGGGCCTCTGTTCCTGTCACCAAGGAAGTGATTCAAATCCCTTAAGTTTTGGTGATATTGTTGTTTCTTTAGAGCAGGACAATTGTTTTAAACTTGGGACCTGCAGGAAAATCATAGAGGAGAAAAATGGCCAAGAGAAGGAGCCCAGCCAGGACTCGGAGTGCATGCGAGAGAAGCGCCACTTGCAGATACAGCGCTCTGGTCCTCAGGGCCCTTGCCAGGGCTCTCCCTGTTCCCAAGCTTTGGAAATAATTGCACAAATCTTTCTTCCTGATACAGCTTGCTCACTGCTTTCTGCTTCTTCTGGGGAAAAGTAGTTCAATTTGCGGAATGGATTCATTCTCCATCTCGGTGCCTCCTCCCATGACTATGAGATGTTAATGTTTCAGCAGGCTCCTGCTGTGTCGCTTCCCCAAGAAGTGCTGCTTCCTCCGTGTGTATCAGCCAGCAGCTTTCTGACTGCAGTGAGCGGGGAGGAACAGGAGGACGTAATTGGTCTTGTTTGAACAAAATAGTCATTCCAATTTGAATTTGAGAGCCATGATCTCTAGCAGTCTGCCTGAAGCAGTGAGTAGCAGGTTGATCCATCAACCAGCTGAAGAGATATATTATTGATGAAAGGGCATCCTTTCACATTCCCTTGCCTGTCCAGTGCATCCAGCCCTTGGAAGTTGGGAAGGACACGGAGCCAGTTGAGTCATCGTGCCCATGGACAGGCTGGTTTCTTCTTATGGCCAGGGGAGATGAGAAGAGCAGCACAAAGTTTATATTTTATTTCATGAAAAGCAAAAAAAAAGATTCAAAGAAATAATTCAGAGCGTCTAATCCATCTGTGTGATAGTAGGTCAGGTGTTTCAGCTGATAAATGAAGACATCAACTTATTAGCCCAGTTTTGGCAGAATTATTAAGAGTATGTTTACATTCAGGCTCATTAAGGGAGACATCTAAAACCTGAAGCATCCAAAATTCATGGATGCTTTCTGAAACTGGGCTTCAGTGAGTTGTGTGGCATTCATTCTTTTATTAAGGAGATAGGTTTTGTGGTTTAGGCAGAAGGCTGCTGGGGAGAGTTCTTAATGAAAGCATAGTCTTGAGTTTTAAAGGAAAATTAAACGCTGAGAAGCCTTTCTGAGTGATAACTCAGATTCGGGGTGTTTGATACAAAATGTTTGTGCTGAATGTTTTCCCGTATTTTATGCAGAGCGTAACTTTCTCCTCGTATTTTCACTTTTCCTTACACTCTCTTTTTGCTGTAGTGTTAATTGGCAAGATGGGTCTGTGTACATTTTCTGATTGCACTTGCTTAGCAAAGGCCATATTTTAGCTGTCTCAGCTATCCAGGTTTGCTCCACCTGTCAACACCTTTTCTCTTGCTGTCCCACTCATCCATGCTTCAAAGACTTAGTACATTGGCATGCTACCTACTTAAATCCTTAACAAAGTTCCAGTATCTTTGTCTTTTTGGCATCTACCCCCACATCTGCAATGCTTAGATTACTTTTATAAATATATTTAGTATGGAAAAAACTACAAACAGTTTAAAGGACAATAATTCCTAGTCCAGTTCTAACTCCACAGATCTCATGCAGAGATACATAAATACTCATGTAAATTCTGTGATTCTGTAAAGAGATATATAAAATGTATTTTGTTTTATTTTAAACTGTGATTAACATGATTGATCCTGACAAGAGGCCCCCAAGGAAGGTCCCCACACCTCTCTGGATACCTGGTGTGGTGGGGCCAACGCAGAGAGGCCATCCTGCTCCAGAAGGCTTCATGGTGCTGCCTTGCCTGCTTCTTGCCTGCTTACCTGCCATTGCCTCTCACTTGTTCTGCAAGAGTACTCTGCCCTCACTTCTACCAGCGCTACACCTCACAGCCACACTGGGAAATCCAATAGAGCAGTGTTTAATCAAATCTCTCTTTCATATTAGCTTTAGTTTCAGTCCTTGACTGCAAAGATGCAAGAAATATCCACTTAACAATGACCTTTTTTTCTTCCAGTAGTTTATCAGATATTTATTATTAACGAAGAGGGAAAAAAATCAATGCATTCTAAACAAATAAAACTCATTTCCCCACCTCCAGTTAATCAGGTTTTATGTGGTTAGTATCTGTGATGTTGCAGTAATTATACTAATTCTCTAGCCATCCATTGAATCTCCCTTGAAAAACTGGATAGATACGACTTGAATTTCTAATCCTTTTGATTTTTTAGCTTTGTATTTGTACAGAGCCTAGCATGATGAGATCCTGGCAAGGCAAATAATAAAAAAGAGAAATAATTTTAGCATCTTTAAAAAATTCAGCGAACTTTCCAGTAAGGTTCTCTCTTGCACTTAGGTAAGAAATCTAGTCTTTACTAATAGTATTTTGGCTGCAATTCCTCGTTACAGCACTTTGTGAAAGTGATGAATCAGGATGTTGGTAAATAATTGTTAAGAATACTTTTTAGGCTCAAATGTGTAGAGTTTTAAGTTTTGTCAAATGTTTATCTCTTTGAAAGAGTGATGATATTTCTTTTCCCTGGAGGATGGACAGGTGTTCATTTTTAATTTATAAAATATTATTTTATAATAATTACTATAAGAGTGCAAAATATGATGATGCAGCAGTAATCTGATACAGTTTCAATGCATGCAGAGCCCAGTGTTTTCTGTTATTCCCAAGGTCGAGTTCGGTTGGCTTTTACCCTGCCTCTGCATCTCTAGGTGATGCACTTTGTTCAGCTCTTCCCACTGAATTTGCTGCACCCTTTTCGTGCCCAGGGGCTGCCTGAGGGAGGAGATGTGTTTACCTGGCAGTTCAGTCAAGCCAGGTCTGTCCCTACCGAATCTGCTCCGTGCGCTGGGGGCATGGCACATGCCCACAAACCACCGAAGAAAAATCGTCCGGCGCCTTGGCACCATTTGGTCCTGCTCTCTCACAACCGTGCAGCAACAGAGGTGACAAAGCCGCGCGGACGGGTGGCTGGGGCACAGCCAGCCCACGGGAAGTGTTGGGAGTAGCGGCCCCTGCGCTGCCAAGACAGCCCCAAGCTGCCACAGCCCCTGCTGCTCTGTGACCCCACGCGCGAGTGGTCCTACGTGGGGCCAGTTGATACCTTCATCTGCTGCCTTCTTGCTCTTAAGCGTTGGGCTGGCAACGTCGTGCCTCGCTCCTTAAGCCCCCCGTTAAGTTTCCTTTGTGGAGTTTCTGATGGCTTTCGATTCTGCATAAGCTTGGGATGCTAGAAGATGAGTTATCGTGTTATTCTGAACATATAATGCCTTCCCTTTCTTTATACTCTTGCACGACTGTCTTGTCCTGTTCGATCGCTTAACAAAGAGTATCAGATACGAGTCGTAGATAAAGTAGAAACAAATGTCAATTAAAAATGCATTTGCTGCATAAAGCAAGAATTGTCTAGTCAAAATGTAAAAATGTACTTTCCAGCTTAAATCAGTTTTATGGAAAGTAAAATATTTTGGTGGAAACTTCTTTTATCCAAACTAAGAATGAATAAATCTGGCAAAAGAGGTATCATAGTATGACGGTTTTAACTCTGAATTTCCTGACGTAAGACCAATCAGTCCTTTCTGAAATATTGTGTGAGGCTTCTGTCCATCGTCTAGACTAGAGAATAACCTCAAGACAGTGCAGCCCACTCTTTGCAGATGGGAAATCAGAAAGTAATCATGTATATTGAAAACAGTGCAGACCCTTTGAACTTGCAGCATTTATGACCTTTTACAAACTTCTTAGGGGAATAGAAATATCCTGTCATTTCTGTTTGGGCCTGATTAGAACTGTAACTCCAGGGGAGGGGAAGGGGAAGGAAGGGAAAATGCAATTATTCCTCCAGAATTGATGTTAAACCAGTGACATTTTAAAAGCAACCAGGCTGGCAGTTGCCAGTCTATTGTTAGGAGCTACGCTGAGGCAGAAACTGCGCAGGGAAGGTCACTATGCTGCAAGCAGAGACATGAACGTTTTAGCATCTCTCTCGTTTCCATCCAGTATTCACTCCTGCTCCTCACCTATTTTCCAAAGATAATAGACTTTTCAGGAGCTGGCCGGCATCCCATCAGCACAGGAGCTTCCTGGGGACACATGGCAAGCTCTGGAGGTCGCCCTGGCCGCTCGGCAGGGAGCTCTGAGCGCTCCCTCCTGCTGTGCCACGAGCACCTCACGCTTCCCGGGATGCACCTGCTGAAGCGCCCTCTTGCCACCTCAGGAGAAAAGCTGGCCCCTGGCTGCAAAAACGCCTCAATCTAATGAGAAAAATGAGGGGGAAAAGTCCGTGACGAGCATCTAAGAATAGAGTGCTTATTTCTGCCAGCGGATTTAGGGCAGAGATGCCTGTTGCCTAAATATGGTAGAAATACTTTGTGTGCTGTAGAGCTTTTACACCAACCCAAGGTAAATGTCTTATCTCATCTGCTTTGTGTGTGCAAAACTTGGACGATTTTTGCAGTTTTATAGTTTTCGAAGGTGACCCGAAGGTTTTACTTTCTGAATGGATTAACTCTGAACAGCAGGGTACGAATTAAAGGCTCCTGAAGCAGCCATTAGGAAGTATTTTGGTTATTCAAATAATGGAGCTGCTAACCATTTAAAAAATTACAGGGAGAAATGTTCTTAAATGTCATCAGCTACCAAGTGCTGGAATTGCTTATGGGATTTCATGAGTTGCTATAAAACATGGTCCAGCAACAGCGAGAGCAGTTTTGCATTATGAGACCTGTAATTCTCAGTGTCTGCTTAAAGTGCCTGATACTCATCTGCTGTTCACGGCCTTTGAGCTCCTGAGGTCCAGCACGCTCCTATTCTAGTATCAAGTGAGGATTTGGGTTTAAGCCTGAGTATGAGTATGTTGAAGAAAAGTTATCTATGTTGAAGAAAAGACAAAAATAACTGTTTTAGATGGAAATTCCCTTGGAATCACTCAACAGCCCTTTTCACATTCCTTCTGGCTCCCCCAGAAAGCAGCATTACCTCGTACCTAGGAAGCAGTGTGGAGACTTCAGTGCTTCGCTCTGTCACCATGTCCTAGGGGACAGTTTAGGGATGGAGTTACCTGGATAGAGTGCCTAGAGGTCCTCCTGCCAAGCAAGGCTCCCATGTTAAAACTTACCCTCCAGCGGAGAGAATCTCCTCTACTCAGATTTGCTTTGGGAGTGCAAAGCTATGGAAATGCTGTAGGATATTTCTGTAAAGGCAACTGATTTCAGCTTGCCCGACTGTAAAATATTAGTACCTGTCTGCCACATAGATAATGTAATAATCGACTGATAGTTAAAGCAAAAAATAATGTAATCAACAAAACAAAGTCTTCATTTCAAGCACCTGGACGATTTCCCTAATTTCTCTGAGAACTGCAGCACAGATGCTGCAAAGGCAGCTTCTCTCCATGACAGTCCTGCCTCGCACCCGCTGCTCGGGGCGTGAGCGTAGGTGATAACTTCTGTGCAAGCAAGCCCCTCTGGCTGGCAGGATCGAATCACTAAATGACTTCAAATGTTGTTACAATTGTAAGAGCAGGAAGATTTGGTAGAACACTTGCAATCGCCCCCCAGTATAACTTTAATAGAGGATCAGACATAAAATGCCTGGTCTTGTCTTCCTGATTCCCTACTTTAACTGCACACACAGGTACCATCACTTCAGTGTTCAGCTGCTACATATATAATCAAATTTGGTAAGTAGTAAATACAGTAGAACTGAATTTAACAAACCAAATGTAATGGTATAAATCAAGGAACTTATTCAAGATAAAACTGTCTTCACTTCAGCAAAACAGTTATCGCAGAAACAACCTTAGATTTATTAAAATAGAAATAATTTAAAATGTATTTGTCTTTTATTATTACTTTTTTTTATGTTTAAGAAAGAAAACCCACTTAACATGAACTGGGTATTTTTACATACCCAGTTTATGGACTTTATGGACTTTAACAATGCTGTAATTTCAGAAGATTTTTCCCCCCATGTCAATTTAATATTAAATTAATCTTATTTTTGATGAAATTGAGAAAAAGTTTTTCAAATATGATTTCATTATATGTCATTATTTCATGTATACCTTTATATCTATTTAATGTAAAAATGTATCCATCGTAATTTAACATAAAAAGCCAACTACTTTCTCAATGCATCTGGTTCTTAAAGGCAATCAGAATCCTTTGCCAGGTTTAGTTATTAAGAAAGTAGCAGAAAGCCATCAGCTACAAACAGCTTCCATTTGTCAGTTATTATTCCTTAGGTATTTTTTGCCTTTGAATGTTGAGTATATGACAAGGTGTTTTGTTTACCCATTAGGTGTTATCTAAGCACTGCACTGATGAGCCAGACACCAGGTTGTGTGGAGAGGAGCCAGCTACCCCATGCCTGGGATTGGACACGGCAGACTGCTTGTGCTGAGGTTAGTTAATGCAGTGCTGCTTCCCTGGATGTGTCTGATCTGACTTCCTTTCCTCGGCAGGGTTTGGCAGGTAGAGCACTGCACCAGGACTCGGGCAAGCGGTGAGAAAACTCACTGCTAGATGACTTAAGGCAGTAAATAAATAATGGTGCTTACCTCCTACACAAAGCACACTGAGTGAAAGTGAGACATAAGGGGATTATTAGATGGTATGACTACATGGATTTTAATAATTATCACGTTGAAAGCTTTCTGTGGTTGGTCGGGACAGACTCCACCTGCCTGGGCTCTGTCTGCTGGCAGAGGTCAAGCAGCAGGTATGGAGAGGAGCAGCGAGTCACTCTGCGGATGAGCTGCCGTAGGCCTTTCAGAGAAGTATTGCTACATTTAAATCGTGGTGTGATCAGTAGAAATGACTGAAAATGTCCTGAATAAATAATTTACATCAGGAAATAGGGATTTGATGCAATTTCAGTGTTCCTGGGCACCACGTGAAGCCTATTGAAGCCTCCTGATGGAAACCGGGCCGGCGGCTTTCCTCGCTGCATGCCAGCAGCTGGGGGGCTGCCCAGCCACGTCCGCCTCCAGCAGGCTCCCTGGCAAGCCAAGCTCGCAAGGAAGCTGGATACTTGCACGCATTTAAAAACTGGCTTGATTTAGCTATTCCAAAATGAGCGTTTCTAAATGAGTCACTCCATAGAAATCCTCACATACCCAGCTTTGCATGCTGATGCAGAATGAAAGCATTAAAAATATGAAGTAAAGTTTCTGCGGGTCATAAAATCCACTTCCTATGCCATCCCAGTGATTAAATGGAGATGCGGCTGAATAAAATGGTGGCTCTTAATATAATTTCAGAGAAAGAAAAAAGCTCAAAGACTTTAGAAGGGCATCTCAGATTTGTTGAATGCACTGTCCCCTCCTCACTCAACTGCAAAAAAAAGGCAAGCTATGGTTCACAATTGCAACTCACTGTAATGACTTGTGAGCACTTCAGTGTTTTAACTGGGAAATTTGAGGAACAGCAGATGCCCAGAAACAGGCTCTCTTTATGATACTGTGTTCTAAAGCAATGGGGTCTTTTCCCCTCAGTGCATTTAGCGGGCAGTGAGCACAGTGGACGGAGCAGAGCGCTGAGGGGCGGCCGTGGCGCGGCGCGCCCGCCCTGCTGGCCCCGGGCGGTGCTCGAGCACCGGGCACCCTGGGGCAGCCCGCGGGCTGAAGGCCTTTGAAG